TTTTCATGACCTAAAAGATACCAACAGAGACTTCATGCTATGTCGGGGAAAGATATCAGGCTCGGGAGTCGGGAGCTTGCTGGCGTCTAGATAATGTCAGAAATGGGTCAGGCACATATCAACACCGAATAGCCTCTGAGAGCTGGCTTTGATATCCGGCTCCATGCCAAAATTAGCCAATCGCCGCTGTCGAGTGTGAACTTTGCAAGACGTTTTACATTATCTGAAGCGGATATGTCCGTAGGCATATAGATATGATGGGCAAGTGGCAACCAACCGATTGAAGTCAGAACGCTCGTATTCGGGTGAGTGCAAGTCAATGCGAGGGGATTAAACTACGCTATTATTTATCATAGCCAAACGAATATAAGACGACTATAAGTGAGCAGTGAAGCTTACATATATTGTACGTACAGAGTTAAAAATAAAAAAAAAACGTGTTTAAAAGAAATCGCTGAGGCGCAACCAGAAATTGTGCACAATTTAAGTCGGAAAGTGACAAGTGCAGTTTGATATAACCAGCACAGAAGGTCTGTTCAAAGGTCGTTCTTGCGTTTGTGATATGAATGTATGCATAAATATATAAAAGTCGTATTGTGTGTTCTTTCTTTTATGAAGGATTTTGGCATGATGTAGGATTCGTTAACAGTCACTCGGATAGTCGCCGACCATCGTCACTGGTTTGCATTCTTGAAACCAAAGTCAGCGATCAAACTTCAAAGGTGGCATCCCTTCCGGCTATTTCAACCTCTGCGAATGACAAGGGAACCCTTCACACTATCTGGCCGCTGACCGGATGGATTATAGAGCTGCGCCGCGACGTCTTGAGTCGTGCAGTGACATCAGACCAGATTGTATCGGACCACTGGTTCAGCGGGGTCGCATTCCTCGCGTCACTATCAGCTCACGGCATTATCTCGCCTGAGCCGGACTAGTCGACGACGTGGAGCGCCGCGATTCGTCGAAAGACGCGGTGAAATATATAGCACACGCTAATCCGCAGGCTTCCGATATAGGAATGGAATCATTCATGACAGGTGTAAAATGAGTAATCGCGAGTTAAATGCGACATGGGCACAAAATGACCACTGCAGTCAATGCGCCCGTAAACCCTAATAAACAAATTAGTTAAATGTGACAATATTTGAATGGCTTGAAACGTTTTAGCATAATTATGATTATAATTGTAGTTAGAATCTTGTATCTTACATCTTGCATCTTGTAGAAATTTGAATAAATGATAACCCTTTGCTCTTAATTAAATTTGCCATTAAATTATTTGGAAATACCTAGGCATCTAAGTTTAGTAACTTTTTAACTTGACCTAATTTAATTATATTAAATTTAACTAGTTTACTTTGTCCTGATTCAAACTCATCAGAATTGAGACCACGGAAGTAAAATTGATATACTTTTTTAGCGCTGATGGTTGTGTCGATTTCATCGATATCTTCGCCTACCGTAGACTGCCGCAATATGCCGTTCTTGCCGCTAGATGGCAGCAGCGGTAGACGCCTGCATCTATGCTGTGCCGCATCACCCACACTACTCCCGGGCGACTGCAGCTAAAGGCACAATGCGCGGCTGATGTCGGGCAATGGGCTGGACGATTCTGTTCAACCTTTCAGTGAACATGTGCGTTGTTTGCACAGCACACAAATACAGTAGCCCAAGGTTCGATTCCACCTGTATCAACTCCCCACCAAGGTCTCGGGGCCGACTGCGGCCCGCTCGGCCCCCACGCAGTACAACTCCTTGTCGCAGTTCCCCGACAGGAAGTGATCGACGATTGCCCGATAGCCCGGGGCGCGGAGGCGACACAGCGCCGGCGGCAGTCTCGCCACCGGCCGAGACGCCCTTGACGCCCGCCTGCGAGGTGCCCCCCCCCCCTCCCCACCGCGCCCGCTGGCCGGCTCACATGGGAATCGCCGTCCGCCGTGCTGGCGCGCTGATCCGGCTCCCGATACGGTATCACGCCGAGCACACGGATCGCACGCGGATAGCGGCTCTGTCGGAGCCCCTATCACGCGGTGTCGACGCTGCGTGACACAATGACACGGTGGTACGGTGGGCGGAATCCGGAGGGGTGGGGGAGGGGGCAGGTGCCGGAACGCGGGATGCGCCGCCCGGTTCTGCCCTACTCTGGTGTGGCCCAAAAGATTCACGCTGAAATGACCGTACGGAAGGTTAAGGTGCAGATACGGCATCAGAAATAGACGTGTTGAATGACGCTGAATGGGCCAACAATGATTTAAAAATAACATTTAACACGCTGAACGAGTCGGCGAGTCTTATTATGTCCCTTAAATTATGGGATTTGCTAAATTGTGTGCTAAAGGTAAGTTCAAAGCATGGGTGTCGATTTGTATACCTTTGGGGGTGCTGCAGCACCCCCAATGCTCAAATGAGCACCCCCAATGGTTTTCCGGGCACCCCCAATGATTTTGTCCCTCAATAACTCCCACTAACTCTGCTTGAGGAAAATAATTGTTCTGCAGTCTTTCACTAATAAAAATAAAACAATTACGCAATTTACAAGGCATGAAATAAAGATGTAAAGCCAGAAAAGTTAGTTTTAAGAAGAAGAGCGAAAAAAGACGTTAAGTTGTAAAGACACTGGTGTGGGTCCGTCGTACACGGGTGTCGGACCCTTAGAGCTGCTGGCGCGTACCCTTTACAAGCCAGCAGGGGGGGGGGGTACGCGCCAGCAGGGGGCTCCAGAGACCGGCGACGGGCCCTCAGAGGCCGGCTAAGGGCCATCAGATGCCGGTGGTACCTTCAGAAACCCTGTGGGGCCGTCTTTAGAGACCGGAACGGACTTAGACGCCGATGGAGCCCTCAGTCGCCGGTGTGGGGCCTTCAAATGTCACCGGTGGCAGGGTGGCCGTCACATGCGCACTTGTGGGGCCTTCAGAAGCTACGATGTTGGGCCCTCAGAGCCACCGATATAGGGCCTTAAGAGGCACTAGTGTGGGACCCTCAGATATGGCAATGTGGGGCCCTCGGACTGGAGGCGCCGGTGTGGGGGCTTCACAGTCGCCGGTGACGGCCCTCACAGGCGCCGTTGTGGGGGCTCTCAGAGACACTGGTTTAGGGCCATCACAGGCGCGCGTGGGGCCCTCAGAACTGCTGTTACGGAACGGACCCTTCATAGGCCGACAAGAAGATATCAAGAGGTCACCGGTGCCTTCAGGAGCCTTGTGTGGTTCTCAGAGACTGGCATGGTGCGCTCAGACGCCGCTGGGATCCTCCGAGTCACCTGTGTGGGGCCGTCAGGGTCGCTGGTAACTGACAAGGGCCCTCAGAACTGCCCATGTAGGGTTTTTAAAGGCATAGGTGTAGGGCTTTAGAGTTAGAGGTGTGGAGCCCTCAGAGGTGTGGCGCTCAGGGGTGCCGGTGAGGGCCCTCACAGTCGCCGTTATAGGGGCCCTCAGAGAAATGGGTGTGGGGCCATTACAGGCGGGTGTGCAGCTCCTAGAGCTGGCCCCCTATAGGCCGGTTAAGACCCCCAGAGGCCGGCAAGTGGCCCTCAGAGGCTGGCTTGGGCCCTTATGAAGATCTTAATGTTGGTACTTGTGGGCCCATGAGGTGTTCTTACGAGCCTTGTGGGGCCCTTCTGAGTCCAAATATAGCCAACCTGGACCCTCAGCGGCCAATTGGCGCCGCAGTGCCCCTCAGGCCCGAATAACCCGATGGGCCCCTGAACCTAATGGGGGGGGGGGGGCATGTGCCTCACGGGCCCACCTGGCTACGCCACTGAGGAAAATCGTAAACCCATAAATATCGAAATGCGATCACCTGTCATTTTTTTAGCGATTATTGTGATCGTCTGATTAACGCCAGAGCCTCGTAGCTATACCGTTGCCTCCCGCGCAATGTTCGCCCCTGTGGACCGCAGGGGCTGCTGCACCGGTGCTAACCGCGGTAATCGGTTTCTGTCACCTTATTACAGAGGTGCTGGGGCTGCTGCCGAGCTGCCGGCAAATGTACGACTTTTTTTCGGAAAGATGTTTATGTAATGAGGTAGCCAAGTACTAGGACGAGCAGAATGATTTTGAAGAACGTTCAACCTTTGGGAAATATTAGTGGAAATCCCGGGATTATCAGTACCTTATGGGGATACCCAACCATGCCTTGTACGGTTGTGCCCATGGCAAAGCTGCAATGCAATCTTTCACCCGGTGCAGGGGTTGAGCACCCCCAACCATTTTGAGAAATCGACACCCCTGGTTCAAAGGATCATGAAATGGAATCAAAATCAAAATTCGTGTCAAATAAAAAAAACGCTCAACTCTTTCCGGTCGAAGGGGGAAAGCCGAAGGATGGTGTCAAGTCTTTTTTACGGTTTTCTCGCAACTGCTCGTAACACTGGCGATAGAAAGCTGAAAAATTGTATTTTCTTCTTTTAATTCATGCCGTATCTTCTGCATTTTCGGGTCAGGCTAGGCCACTGACATGACATAAGTGAACCTCTGCACGGTCCTAAAATAGCGCAACTTCACAGCACTGGCAGTGCCAGGGAATCTTTCACAGGGAAATGAGACTAGCCCCGCGTTCGATGTCTCTCGGACGGCGAAGATTCTACGTCGTCCGGCCAATCACATTTCATAACCGCAGCCGAGCCCCCGCTGACCTTGGACGTGATTGGCCGGACGGCAAAGAATCTTTGCCGTCCGGGAGACATCGAATGCCGCCTAAGACTTATAGCGACCTTCCGAGCCCTCGCAACTTCCATAGTTCTGATTTTTTCACTCTGGAGTGGGTACCTACCCAAAAGGTCGGTCACGTGACCGTCATGTTACCACATACGTATACATTACGAGCGAGTGCAGAGCGCGAGGTGAGTCAATTTTCAATATAACATAACGGAGAAATCTCAGTGGGAGCGGCTCGGCCTGTAATGCCTTTGGCCCTAGAATCTGAAAGTAGCCGTGAAGGATAACTTTATATGGTAGCGTATCTGGCAGCCTTTTTGTATACGGACCTGGCGTGTCTGTGACGTACTTGAACCAAAACAATGGAAAGGCGCAGGCAACGCGCAGTGCCCAAGCAGTGCCATTTGCATTGGCATCAAAATAGTTGGTGAATGGATTATCGTTTGACATTTTTGAGATATGTATTGTACCTTTGATTTTGATTATTGATCCTGGAGGCATAAATAAGGTTCTACGGGTATCTATTTTAGAGCAGGCACACGGCTTGTGAGCGATCTTGGTTCAAGGTCGAGGGAAAACCAAAAGTTCCTTTGTCTCCAAGGCTTTTGCCTTGCCTGCGCGCCCTAACTCTTCAACAACAACATCCAAGGCTTTTGCTTTGTATCAGTTTAGAAACGTTGGAAACAAGGTGAGTGATCTTGGATCAGTAGCGGCGGAACACCTTCAATTTAGGGGGGCAGGGGGGGCACTGCCAACTTTTGGTCCCATTCTTTCGATGCAACGCCCATAGGGCTAATGTTAAAATGCCAAAATCAAAGGGATTAGGGGGCAAGGTGCCCAGGTGCCCTCCCCGTTCCGCCGCCTATGTCTTGGATGTGTTCGACTTGAGGTGCCTGCATTGATATGCAGCCTGTTGCTGAGCTTATCACTGTCATTGTACCCATGTGGCTGCTGTTGGCAGTTTATATTATATCGATTGCACAATTGAGTTAAAAATTTTGGGGAGCAGGGGCCACTGCCAGTTTTGCCAACCGAAAAATAGCTGCGTTCCAGATTTTTTTTTGTCATAAGAAGACGGCTTCACATATGGAGAGTAAATGGCAAAGCCCTATCCTCTTACATCTACATGCCCATCGCATTAACGCTCCATATGTGAAGCGGTCCTAAGGCAAAAAAAAAAAAATCGGGCAGGCAGCTATTTTTCTGTTGGTAAAACTGTCCTCAGATCAAGACAAGTTTAATCAATGTAGGTAAATACTAAATATGTATCAAATTCAAATGCAGGCTACAGTTCAGCAATTTGTGCACTTTCCAAACTTTCAACTGAGCTGAAATACTTTTGGTTTCATTAGTTTTTTGTATTTAAATGGTAATACTTTTGAAAAAACTGCAATAATTTTGAATTGTAAGATTCTTACATAATTATGATGTCATTGACCGTTAAAACACTATTCATTGTCATCTTATCTTTATCTTTGCCAGTTCAAGTTCAAGTTTCTTCTTAAACTGTTTTAAAGGGACTGAATGCCTTATAAAATGTCGTACTTTTGTTGCTTTTTGCCATTTAAGGTAATTTTGAATTGCTGAACTGATTTGGAAAACTTTGACCCAATGCACTCTTCAGCTTCATTACCTACTTATTAGCTATTTTACTATGACGTGTTGAATAAGTTGCTAGTTTTCATTCAACTCTAGATCTTAGATGATATCTAAGATTTAAGTAGTACATGTGACAAATAATTCAAAGTCAACTCTGCCCCTACAGTAAAAATGCCTATCTGTGTCAAATAAGTACAATTTGTCATTTTTGGCGTTGTAGTGGTAATAAGCTCTGTTTATTTTATTGCCTTTTATTATTATCTTTTTGTAATAATTATTTGTACTAATTAACTGCCAGCCTTGCACTATTTTGGCTTCTCTTTACAGGGTGTTCCGAAAAAAGTGTCACAGTTTCAAACGTGTATTATAAACGCTTGACAAGTATTAACGCATTAAAACATACACCATATGAAAGCTCACGTTTGTCGTTTTTCAACAAGGTTACTCTCGTATCAGTGCTATAACTCCTTGCCAGAGGGCAGAGGAGTTCCTGCGATCACAAGTTTACGCGAACTTCTTGTAGTTCACGTTCTCGATATGGGCACCACCGCGGTTGAGACACGCCTTGATTCTGGCCTGGAAACTCTCAGCGACTTTCGTCAGAGTCTCGGGACCGACTTGATGCAGGTATCTTTCGACGTTCTGCTTAAGCTGGACCAGTGTCTTGGGCTTGCCTGCGTACACAGTGTCCTTGGCAGCCCCCCACAGCCAAAAGTCTAGCGGGTTGAGATCAGGGCTGTGGGGAGCCCACTCATGGGCGGTGCCGAGAGACATGAGGCGAGCGTTGAACAGCTCCTTAAGGCATTCGATACTCTCACGCGCAGTGTGAGGCGGAGCTCCGTCTTGCATGAACCATGCCTGTTGCAGTTGGTTATCGGTGAGCATATCGGTCAGATCCGCGTAGAATTCCCGGATGACCTCGCGGTAGCGCTCGCCATTGATGGTGACGGTCCGGCCATCTTCTTCGAACCAGTAGGGACCGAGGAGGCCGTGAGTGGCGTTGTAGGCCACGAAGGCAGTGACCTTCGGGCCCTTCAGCTGCTTCTCCGTTACTTCTTCCGGTGGTGAGTTACCCCAGAAAGTGTTGTTGTGGTTGTTCACCGCACCGTTCAGGTGGAAGTGAGCCTCGTCTGAGAACCAGACTCGGTTCACCCACCGCGCGTTCCTCTCCATCTTGTTGGAGATCCATTGACACATGACTTGCCGCTTTTGCCTGTCCCGATCCGTCATCTTATGTCTGGTGGATATTATGTACGATGACAGTTTTAGCTCGTCGCATAGGATGCGTCTTACGCTGGTTTTAGCAAGTCCGAGCTGTTGAGAGCGTCGACGGAGCGACTTCTTGGGACTGGCAATGACGGAATTTCGCACGGCCGCGATGGTCTCTGGGGACTTTGAAACCGATGCTGGCCTGCCGCTGCTGCCCCTGTGAGTATTCAGGACTGAACCTGTTGTCTCAAAATGGTTAACAAACCTTGCAATGAGTTTGTTGCAGGGCAGATCTCGAGTTTCCATGTCACACTCGCGTCGAAGTCGGCGGCGGACGGTGACGTACGATTTCGTCTCGAACCATAATCGGACGATTTTGATTTTTTGTTCTGGCGAGAAAACCATCGTAGATTTTGGTGAACCGTTTTGTCCACCAAAATCGACAAGGGTTGTGAGCAACATATCTTAAGCCAAACTATTTCGGACAATTTTTACGGAAATCGCACGTGACTAAAATCGTGACACTTTTTTCGGAACACCCGGTATTTGTCGATATATTATTTTATAGCTCGACCTGGACCCTTCTGGCAGGCAGGCAGCAGCGTATGGCTGCAGTACACTGTACAGTGCTGACATCTATAGCTGAAATCCAAAAGCATCAGTATGTATGGCAATCACAAGAGATCAGCTGTGCTCATGGTGAAAGTACTAAGCAGTGACCTGATGTAAACTAACAAAGGCAGGAGTCACTCCAACTGCAGTTGAAATGCCCTTCTCAATGGAGTGCTTGTAAGCGTTCTGCAAATTACTGCCGGCGTATCTCACTCAGCTTTGCATAATAGTCTTCCAAGTGCAGCGCAAAGACGCGACCCAAATATCGGCCCGCCTAGTTTGCGTTGCTCGGACTTACGTTTGTTTCAGATCGCCCTGCTTTACCAGCCTCACCATATGTGTGAAGCTAGAATGAAGGTGTTAATGTCTGTAGATATAAAACTTTATCGGAATTCACTGGGATTGTATTGCGTATGCAAGTCCAAATATTTCGGCCAATATTGTTTGGCCTTGGTCACTGGACCAAGGCCAAACAATATTGGCCGAAATATTTGGACTTGCATACGCAATACAATCCCAGTGAATTCCGATAAAGTTTTATATCTACAAACATAAACCTGGGAAAAATATGACTCTAAAACAGCACGTGTTAATGTCGGTCTAGCACGCTGGGCTCAAGGAGCCATAACGATTTCCTGGAATGTTCAAGATTAGTTTATAACTGGGACCCTTTCACTTGTGTAACAGTAACGAGCGTCTCGATGTTCTGATCACCATCAGGCGATATCTGGTCATAATCCTCGGCTAGCAATACTCGTTGATAGTTCAGCGTTTGACTATGCTCTTAGGATGAAGATATCTGAGAGGCTGTTGTAAGCGCAGGTGTTTTATTAAAACATAACATTGTTGGTCGGTGAACATTCAGCTCGTGAGACATTATACAGTAGCACACACTGTCATGAGCTCATATTCTTCATCAGACGTAACCTCTGTTTCATGACAGCCACCGAACTATGCATAACTGGCGTTTATCACTTAACCATCCCAAATTCACTTTTACTATTCGGTCATCTGTGCCATAGCCAGCCTGAGCCAATATTCCAGTTCCAAGCTCTTTTGGAGAGCACATCACCATTCACCTTGCACGAGTCCCGGCACACGGTCACGTCACTGCTCCTCTGGTTCTGGCGTAGTAACACGACTTACAGTGACTCAGTTTTATTCGCCTCTTCTCAGATCCGCTGTGCTCTTGTGACACAGCGATCATTTTACACGGTCCCGCTGCGGTCTCGTAGCTAATTGGTCCTCCACGGCGCGGCTAACTGGTCCCTTCGCAGAGCAGCCTTTCACACAGCATATGGTGGTCCTTTCACATACACCCGTCACACGGTGGTCCCGTTACCGAGTGCTCCGTTATTAGACCGCCGGGAGGATGCCGGTACAATTGTCTCGTCACAGCATCTAGTCTTCTGAGACCGTCACTGTTATCAATTCACACAGCGACACAGTGTTTCCGTCACTTTCTGGTCTTTCACATAGCCACACATTGGTCCCACCGCGCAAGTCTCATCACATGGTCCCGTCATGATAGCCCCGTCACACGGTGTTCCGTCACATCACCGCGCAGTGGTCTCCGTGCCGGCGCCCCTCCTCCCGGGCAGACCCGCCGGGGGAGCGGTGCACCGCGCCGTCCGCCGCCGGCTGCCGAATCGCCAGCTGCTGCCGGAGCTTCTCCGCCCGCTCGCTGACAGATACAGGTGATTGTCCGTCCTCCTTTCCCTCCATGGGGGTAACAACACCCGCCGGAGCCGGGCCGGGCCGCTCCGGTGGCTGGACGGCAGAAGCAGTCGGTAGGTGACGCACGTTGTTATCCGCCTCTCTGGTGAGCGTTTCGAGGACGGCGGAGATGGGCGGCGCCGGGCTGAGGGAGGAGCTGCTGCCGATGGTGTCCTGAGTCGTGTTGAGAGTCGTGTTGGGCGAGGGGCTCACCCCGCGGCTGCTCGTGGCGACCGGAGGCGCGTCTCGGGGCGGAGGGGTGGGCGGGTTGTCCAGATCTGAGTCGTGACAGTTCTGCTGAGCTGTCGGAGTACCGTTGCACAGCTCGCTGTGCTGCTCGGGAGTGACCCCTCTGCTGGCCGCCGCCGGAGACCGCTCCCTCTTTCCCTCGCTGGGCGGAGTGTCCAGTCGTCTCCTCCTGCCGTGGGCCGCGCTGCCGGCGGCGGCGGTGGCCGAGCGGCCGAGCCGCGGGGTGCTCCGCGCCGGCGGCCCGTGCGCCGGGTCGTGCGACGGCGCCGCGGGCAGCAGCAGCTGGTCGTCGAGCAGCAGTGCCACGGCGCGCCGCCGCGCAGCGGACAGGTGGCCGGCGGGCGACTCGGGCCGCGGCGGCGGCAGCGGCGCCGTCAGACCCTCCAGCAGACGCGCCGTCGAGTCCAGCCGCCGCGGCACGGCCGGCCGGGGCGACTCGGGCGCGCCGCCGTGCGCCGGCACCGGCGGCGTACCCTGCGACGGACTGGGAGAGCGCCGAGAGCGCGCCGAGGGGCTCCTGACGCGCCTCTGACGCTGCAGTGGCGGCCGCTTTCGGGAGCTGGTGGCTGATGGTGCTGGTGCTGAATCCGGAGGTGCTGGAGCCGGCTCTGGCTTCAGTAGCAGAGAGGCAGGAAGTTCAGGTTTCGGCGGAAGGGACGCGGAGGGCAGTACCTGATCAGGCGGCGCGGAGTGCTGCGGGACCGGCGGCGGCGACGGCGTCCGTTCCGGGCCGGCCGCTCCGGCCTCGGCAGCTGGTGGGGATGACTCTGACCCCTGAGAACCGCGGTCGGTTGGTTTGGTTGTAGTCTCTGTCGTGATTTGTGACTTGGTTACTAGCGCGGCTGGCTTGGGCGGCAGCGGCAGAGGAGGGCCCATGGGGGCGGGTAGGTTATCGAGGTCAGTTACTGGAACGGACGCTGGAAGCAACGCCGCTGGGTTAGGTTCCAAGGCTACCGTTGGTTTTGGAGGAGCAGCTGATGCAAGCAGCGGGCTGCTAGCGGGTTCCGAAGACGATGGAATGTTTTGATTCTCAGTCACAGGCTTATCCTCTGTCAGGGCTTCGGGAACGTCTGTTTTCTCTGCTTCTGAGACATCTGATTTCTGAGCCACGGTGACATCAGCTTTAGAAACGTCCGGGTTGTTTACCATGGGAGCCACAGGAAGACACGGCTTCAAGGAACCGCCTGAATTCTTAGGCGCAGGGGCGGGCGGTTTCGGTGGCAGAGGAACCACGAGCTTTCCTGAAGCGATCTCACTGGTCTTCACATGTGGAGGAAGGTCGGGTGGCCTCGGCACGGGTATGGCTGGTTTCGGTTTCACAGCCGACGCCTGTTTCCCGGGCAGAGAGCTGAACGTCTCGAGGAGGAGCGGCGGGGGCGGTGGCGGCAGCGGCGGCGAGGGCAGAGTGGCGGCGCGCGGCGGCAGGGCCGGCTCCAGCGGCAGCGGCAGCGGCGGCCGGCCGCCCACCGGCCGCGGCGTATCATAGACCACCTCCTCGGGCGGGGAGCGGCGGCCGGCCACAGGCCGCGAGGGCAGAGCAGCCGGGGCTGACGGACCTCGAACGTGCACCGGCACCGGCTGCGGCCAGCGCGGCACGTCGTACTGCACCTCGTCCTCCGCGGCGGGAGGCGGCAGCGGCGCCGGCGGACGGCACGTCCTGGCGGAGGCCGAGCGGCGCGCGCCGCCCTGTCGGCAGACCTGGGGCGAGAGCGTGGCCCCGCGCCCCGACCGCGACCCGGCCGTCAGACTCTGACTGCGCTGGACGTCCGCGGGGACGCTCCGCGCGCGGTGGCAGGCGGGACTGCGGTCGAGGCGCGACTCTGTCCCGATCGGGTCTTGCGTGATGTTGCTGGTGTGGGGCTCTGTGGCGGGGTTCGCTGCTAGTGCGCGTGGTCCACTGGTAGCATCACATCCCTCACTAAATCTCTCACATTGTATCTCGTTAGGGTAACATCTGCCGGTAGCAATTTCACCACCAGTATCACTGACCTGAGCACCACTCGCTCCGGCACCATCACTATCACCACTCCCAGCAGCACCACCACCGCCCTTGGCGTTCTGGTTTCTCAGACTGTCATACAGAGTCTCGATCTCTGTGAACATTTCGTCGAGCGACATTTGCGAGTCGAGCTGCGGCAGCTGCCGGAGCGGCGGCTGCGGCGGCACGTCCGGCTCCTCGGGGATGGTCTCCGGCAGCGCCGGCGGCGGCAGCGCCGCCTCCGGGCCGCCGCCGGCGTCCAGCAGGCTGTGCATCGAGCTCAGGATGCGGTCGATGCTGGCGATGGTGGAGCAGCGCGCCTGGTCCTCGCTGTACGCCGACGCCGGTGAGTCGGGCCGAGAGCGCGCCTCCCGCAGGTCGGCCTCGCTCTGCGTGCCGCGCATCCGGCGCAGGCTGGAGACGCGCGGCGGGGGCGCCGGGCGCCGCCGGCGGCCCCGCCGCTCGCGCTGCTCCGGTACCAGCGTGGCCATGCGCGCCTCGAACGAGCGCAGGCCGGCGAGCACGTTGACGCGGCTGGGCGGCAGCGGCACACTGGTGACCAGCCAGGTCCTGCCGGCGAACGGGCCGTGCACTGCCGACGGACGCATGGCTGGCTGTGCGGCCGCCGCGCCGCCGCCGCCGCCCCGCTGCCGCCCTCTGTTTATAGAAGCGGGGCTGACCAGGCGGCCGGGGTGGCGACCGTGACCGGCGCCCGGCCGACCCTCCCGCCGCCCTCAGCTGTCCGTCTCGGCCGTCTGCTGTCCCCCGCCCCCGCCGCCGCTCATGTTGTGGTCGGTACTCTCCGGCGTACATTTCCGCTGGGTGGATCTCACGCCCTATGCCGCGGCACGGTCTGGCGTGTCCTGGAATCACGCGCCGGCAATGGGTCGCCGTGCGGGGGACGGAGTCGTGTGTCGGCAGCAGATGTGGCAATGGGTGATGTCAGCTCGGAGACGGCTGTGCTAGTTCGACGGGTAAATGTTGTTTGGGAACATGGCCCGTGGCGCGGACGGGTTCTCTGTGACGCTGGTCGCCGCTACACTGCTTGTTATTGCTCGTCGGGTGCTGTGCGGTCTCGCCTGGTCCAGTGGTCGAGTGCTCCCTTCCGAGAGGTGTTATTTGGTCCCAACTGGCTCTACCCAAGCAGCTTGGTCTCGACCGGACTTATAACTGCTATGTTTTGTCCTGAACGAGGCTGACGACTGACCGAGTCCCACCCGAGCTCGAGCAGTCCCTCGGGCCTCCACCGAGCCCGAGGTGCCCCGACCGTGGGACGAGGTCCCTAGCGGTTCGGGGCGGCCGCTGCAGCTCCCGGCCGGCTCGTTTGTTTACCGAGATCGTATGGCCTCTCCGCTCGGCGACCAATGATTACACGGACATTTCCAGCGGAGGCGCGACAGAGACGAGTGTCCCTCCCCCCCCCCCCCCCCCCTCCCTAGCTGGCTGACAGGCGGACAGTCCGTGCGCCGCGGTCCTCTCTGGGTACCCGAGACGACTTGTACGCCCACACAGCTGATCGAGGCTAACCAAACATCTGTATCACATATCGAATCATCACAGATCACTGCGTCACAGTTACTGCTGGTAGCTAATCGGAGTAGATCACTGCATGATAATCGGGCAGTGTGACAGATTGACAGCCCTGTGACTATCCAGATGGGGCAATCGTTTTAAATCGTCTCTCCGTCCATACGCACACACTATCCGTCCGTTTATACCCTGGCGTCAGTCCGTTGCAATGTTTGACTGGGACCCTGTCAATTTGGGTAGATCCGGAAACAGCGTATGGAAACTTCCGGGGTGCTTGACCTGCAGCCAATACGAATGCGAGGTTTGTTTTCCTTATATTCCTAGCTGCTCTCTCTATGTGATAATTTTGATCCCGATCAGTGGTCTGCCGAAGCGAGACGGGGATATCGTTAGGGGAGTCGGACCGGCGAGTCTGCATTTCTAGCTGCTCTCTCTGTGTGATAATTTCGATCCCGGTCCAGTCGTCTGCCGTGGCGGGACCGGGACGGGAGCTCGTTAGTGGGTTCGGACCGCGGTATGCTCGGACGTCTGGAAATCCTCACCACGCTGACACATGCCTGTCGGTGCAGATTCCGGGCGCGGCGACTGTGCATGGCTGCGGCCCCTGAGGACAGTTAGCCGCGCTGCTCTGACTGAGCTGACGGGCCGAGCCGGGCTGGTAGACTGGTCTGAGAGCTGACAGACTGTGCACTCAGCGGTGGGATTGGTTGCGGGATAGAGTGAGGATGGGAGTATGGTTCTTTACAACGTGAGATAAACGTATTAATCGTTCTGATTGCCCCCCCCCCCCCCCAGTCATTTAGTTTACCCGTTCCATACGCTAACCTCTCGCTCTCTTTCCCTTCCCGCCAGAACAGCCACAATGCGTCCGTCGCCCTCTGAGGAGGTGTACTCGGTGCGATTCAGCCAGGACAGCAGCGCCTTCTGCTGCGCCCTGGCCTCTGGAGTGCGGCAGTACAACCTGGAGCCGCTGGCCGAGCTGGCCGCGCACGGACCGCTCCGGTTCGGCAGCATCGGCGTCTGCGAGATGCTAGATCGGTGAGAGACGGGGATGGTGAGAGGGTGAGAATGGAGAGACGGTGAGAGGGTGAGAGTGTAGAGACGGTGAGAGGGTAGATTGGTGGGAAGGTTATGTGTGAAAATTGAGACACAGCTTTTTTGGAAAGGTTGATATTCTTTACAGGTCTTGTGTGATGCACAGTCATTAGTGACAATAACAGACGGTGCTTTTTATTTTGATAGGTGAAAAAAATCGTATGAAATGTGCTCTGCTCTGGGTCATTTTGTGTCGTAACGTTATATGCATAATGCCTGCTTGGTGCATCAATTATGAACTAATTTTGTTTACTTTTCTTTTCTTTTTAAGCGTAGCATGTACCATCAGCAGCAACCATGTGTCGCTGTATCTGACCTGTTTTTGCGTCGTTCGAGACCTTTTCAGCAGAATTGAGCTCGGTAAACATCTGAATCTGCACGGCGAAGTGAGAAGGGTGTGTTTGTATATGCAGGCACATTTGACATTTGTCGGATATATAACTGACCGCCTCCGTGTAATATTTTAATTATTAATTATTTACTTGCATTTTATATCACATGCTTGTGTGCACTGAGAGTGATCAGGTCCTCAGGTGAAGCATTTTGACACAGGTCTGAACAACTCCAGCTGACCCGACAATTACCTACCCTTAGGTCCAATCTCCAACCCTGATAGTGTGTAGGGTATGGTTAACCCTCGCCCCGTTGGGGGGGCCATTTTGGCCCCCCCCCTGTGGTTTTTCCTGAATAGCAAGAAAACGGCGGCGCGCAGCGCCGCCAAATTTTCAGTACCTTCCCGGGCATCAATTTGACACCTTCACACCAAATTTCAAGTCTTAGGTCACCTTAGGTCAGGAGTTATTGAGGTCAAACTGAGGTCATGTTCGAGCAAAAATGAGCAAAAAACATGCAATTTTGAAACGCTCACCAAATCTACAGTTATCAAGCAATTTCAAAGTTCTTTATATGGTCAAGTAGACAAAAAGCGGCGCTACAAAACTGCTATCTCGGATTTTCAAAATTTTTGGTTTTTGACCCCAAAAAAATTCAAAAAATTGATTTTTTTAGAAAAACTTTGAAAAAATCCAAAATTTTTCCGAATTTCGAAAAAACCGGAATATATGTGATAGTCCCAGCGCTCTTCTATATACATACCAAATTTCAGATCGATATCTCGTTTTTTGGCCAAGTTATAGCGAAAAAACTGTTCAAAAATGATGACGTCAAATTTTTGAACTCAATTTTTAGCAATTCTAGACCTCGTACGGCAAAACAAAGACCACCATTGAACTCCCCGTGACGAGCTGCATCGATTCGATACCCATTTTATGCAAAAATATTAACTTTGAAATTTGACCTAATTTGACCTGACCTTGACCTGACCTTGACCTGACCTTGACCAAAACGTGATCTAAGCTGGCCCCAAAGGCTGCCTGACCCATATAATCGCATTTGTCATGTAAAATGGACCATAAAACATGTATCACACGACACTTTCATATTGTGACCCCCCGTGACCTGACCTCTGTGACCTGACCTGGTATCAGTGACCTCAAATAGCAAAATATGTGTTTGAAGAACATTTCCCCATCGATGATTTTCAATGAAATGCATTTTACTCGATTTTACAACGCATTTCTTGAAGTGCCTGTAAACGGTGAAAATTGGACCTTTGACCTGACCTGTGACGTCATCGGTTTGACCTAGGTCAATAAAATTGGGTCACAAGGTAGTTCCCCGTTGGGGCTATCCAACGCCGTTTACCGCTTGTCGCTATGTTGCGTGGTTCTCGAGATCTTAGGGGGGGGGGCCAAAATGGCCCCCCCCCCCCCAACCGGGCGCGTTGCTCGGCAGAGCCCAACGGGGCGCGGGTTAATAGTACATGACCTGACCTGACCTGACCTCTGTCCCGTAGGTCGAACTTTTTGGCGGTGGTGTGTAACGAACAGTACCTACCCTGATCTGATCTGATCTGACCTGGCCTGACCCTCCCTGCCCCCAGGTCGAACCTGCTGGCGGTGGTGGGCGGCGGCGCCGGACCTGACCTGACCTGCTCTGACCCCTGCCCCCCAGGTCGAACCTGCTGGCGGTGGTGGGCGGCGGCGCCTGACCTGACCTGACCTGACCTGACCCGACCCGACCCGACCCTTCCCCCAGGTCGAACCTGCTGGCGGTGGTGGGCGGCGGCGCCACGCCCCGGTTCGCCGACAACACGGTGCTGATCCATGACGCGGCCCTGGACCAGTTCGTACTGGAGCTGACCTTTAGCGCCCCGGTGCTGGCCGTCAGGATGCGCCGCGACCGGCTCATCGTGGCTCTGAGGTGAGAGGGCTGTATGCGCCGCGACAGGCTCATCGTGGCTCTGAGGTGAGAGGGCTGTATGCGCCGGGACAGACTGATCGTGGCTCTGAGGTGAGCGGCTGAGTCAGTAGTGAGACGCTGTGCCCTTAGATCAGGCCAGGTTAGATGGATGTTTTCGTAGATTAATTGGTAACTGGGTAAGGATAGTAGTGAACCGTTATTTGATACCATACCCCCATATCTGTAATTTGTATAAATTGATCTGTTCGGATCGGCTGACCCGTCTGCCTTTTATATTATCTGGTGTGTCGTTTGTTTATGGATTCTCTCACTCCTCGCTTCTTAGCTTCTACATTATACAGTACAATCACTCGTATTTATATTGGCAGCGCCAGACAATGAATCCGCTGCACTTTTTTATTTGAGTAAATAAACAGCACAGTTTTGTCGTGAATGTCTCGAAACACGATTCTTACAATCGTGGTCTAAGTTTTGGCATTAGACTGCTCTTCTAATAATGCGTTATCATCTCTCCGCTGATTGATTGCTTGTTTTTCTGTGTAATCGCACTGTATTATCTTTTAACGAAAAACATTGAATAATCGCTGCTCTGTATTACCTAGAAGTTTCTTTTCGTTGTGTAACACTGCAGAATGTAGGCGGCTGGCCGCCTAGGGTCGCCCATAAACTACTGACTGATTAGCTGGCCAACAATTAAAGGAATAATAGTCCAGGCGTGGTTTGTGTGCCGATTAGACTAAGCTAGCATTGGGACACAAAATACTAGACGTATCGCAAGTCACGTAACCACGGAAATTCACCTATTCACCTCGTGACCACCATGCCGCTTTGAAGGCCTGCTTCAAAGTTCACCTTTCTGTTCACCTTTCTCCTGCCTCCCCCACAGGCGTCAGGTGCACGTGTTCACGTTCCCGTCTCCGTGCGAGCGTCTGTTCACGGTGGAGACGGCCGACAACCCGCTGGGTCTCTGCGAGGTCAGCCCGCTCTCCACCAGTGACCACCACCTGCTCTGTTTCCCGGCGCGCAAGACGGGCGCCCTGCAGCTGATTGACCTGTCGGCCACCGAGGCGCAGGTCTCGTGTGCGCCGGTCACCATTAACGCCCACCAGGGCCACCTGGCTGCGCTGGCCATCAACCAGCAGGGCAGTCTGGTGAGTGGAGCGGGAGAAGGGAGGATGGGGGGGGGGGGGCGGAGAGCTCGTCAAAACCTAGGAAGCTCGTGAAGTGTATGTACTTTTTTTTGCTGGGTTAGGCCCGTTCGGTCTGACGAGACCATTTCAGAGCCGGAAGGATGATAGGAATTAGTGGGAGACATTGGTCTGGGCAGACACCCTAGAGAGTCGCCGGGGCTGAGCCCGTCCGAATGGACAGGCCGACTAGCTCCCCAAGCACTCACCACACCCGGCTACGGGGCCGCGTGCTCTCACGGGCAATCCCACATGGGATAAAGTTGCCCGTCCACCCCGGAGCAGGGGAAAGAGGCGTGGAGGAGAAGGGTTTGTCTGTCCTGAGGATGGAAAACAAGGAATGGAGGTAATTTTGTGATTTTCAAATCCTGTGTCTGGCTCTGCCCTCACGCGGCATCACCGGTTTCGTTCTGCCTTACCACGCCTGTGTAGATCCACGGTTACAAATATTTGCCGCACCCAGGCCACCGTCGGGGGACAGAACCGAGTGTATACTGTATATGTGTCAGTGCTGGCGCCATGTCGGTTTGACGCCCAAACCACTGAGGCGGCTGCTGACCTTTGGCCTGACCGCTGCCGCCACATTGCTGCCGGGAGACGGCCAGTCCCAGAATCCTCTCCTACCAATACACTAGGAGCTCCGCTAGACACGGCAAGAACGGAATCCTACCTCGGCCGTCGTGATGTAAAGGACAACGAAAGGGAAATTTGGCAGCGTAAACATGTCAGGTCTGCTAATAATTAAAGATGCTAGGGCTTCCGCGTCATCTACGTATTTCTTATTTGCACTCGGAGCATGAGTAACTGCTTTTGTAGTTGTTTTCCTTCATATTGTGTTTGTTACTAGGTCAGCGGGTTTGTTGTTCCCCACGCACGGCTGCCGTGGCCGCCGGCCCTGCTGATCCGCTCGGGGCCCTGTTTCACCGGTGATAGCAGCACGCTGCTATCACACGTGTCAAATTGGGTTTCCATGGAAACATCAACAAACCATGGCGTCGTCAAATTGTGTGATGTCATCAAATATTGCTGCTAACATCTTCACGGCCGTGCGATCAAACAAATGTATCAAACGCAATTCAACGAGACAGCGACTCTGTTCCAAACGCAGCTCACGGATTACACGAAACGTCATTAGTGTGACCTCATCACATTACGTCAGCTCGCGCAATTTGATATTAGCGTGCTGCTATCACCGGTGAAACAGGGCCCAGGGCTCGAGCCGGCCAACCAGTCCATTGCATCATCACATCAGCCTCGGTATGCCCGTCCGTTACCCCAGCTGGTGCAGGAGACACAGAGCCATCTATCGTCTGAATGGTGAACTAACCGCCGCCGCCCGGGGCGCCGCGCTGTGGGTGACGGCTGACGGGGCATATTCACCGGCTGAACAGAGTTTCAGTACGGGTTTCCTCCGCAGTGACAGCTGACAGCTGGGTTTTGTGTGGCGCCCGCCCTGTCACACTGGGGCAGTACGACAGCAGAGCGGGCGGCTGTGTGCCAAGGCTGGTGCCGGCGGGATCACCGCCCCGGGGTCATGTCTGCCCCCCCCTCCCCGTCCCCCCGCGCGGTGTGGCCAGCTGAGCACGCACGTTCCACTCCGGGCTGGGTGCGGGCCGTCAGCTGTGGGCGTCGATAGCCCGTGACGTCAACGTCGACTTGGAGGTGTGGCGACATCTATATCAGTCACGAGTTTTGATATTTGTGGATAGATGACACCAGCGAGTTGACCGGTCCCGTCCGTTGCTATTTGCGACGTCTCCATAATGCTTTTATCTGGCTTGTACGCTCTATTTTTCTTGGCAGTTTTTCATTATCCAGCGAAGATATTCGCTTCCTATTAATCAATTTAATCTTGAGTGGATGTCTTGCATCGAAGAAGCTTTTTTTGTGTTAGTGTTGTTTTTTTATCGAGGGCGAGCAGCCCCCTCCCCACTCCTTTAGCAAGACAAGCTTACAATGCCGACATTTTCATGAGGTTTTGACTGCATTCATCCTGACAGTCTCCAAAACCTTTGCGCGCAGTCCTATCTTTCGTGTTTATTGAACTTCTCAGTCCACTTAAAAATGACGCCCGATAAAGGCCGTGACATGTATACCGGCATTAATTAGTTTTGCAACCAAGTGTATATCATTCCATTCAAAATCCCGTACCGTACCTACCACTTTCCAGCCTGTCCTTCCCATTCAGCTGCCCCACATTCATGGCTCCTCCCGTTCGCCACCCCTCTGACACCGCCCCTCTGACACCGCCCCTCTGACGGCGCACCCTCTGCCGCCAGGTGGCCACCGCGTCCCGGAAGGGCACGCTGATCCGCGTCTGGGACGTGTCGCAGCGCTGCCTGGTGGCCGAGCTGCGGCGCGGCTCCGACACGGCCGTCCTCCACTGCATCGCCTTCAGCGCTGACAGCATCTACCTGTGCTGCAGCAGCGACAAGGGCACCATCCACGTGTTCGCCGTGCGCGATCCGGCGCTGAACCGGCGCTCGGCGCTCAGCCGTGTCGGCCTGCGCGGCCGCTACCTGGAGTCGCAGTGGGCGCTGGCCACCTGCACAGTGCCCGCCGAGCGGCCGTGCGCCTGCGCGTTCGGCGCCGCCGGCACGGTGTACGCCGTCTGCCTGGACGGCACTTTCCACAAGTACGTGTTCACGGCGGACGGCAGCTGTAACCGGGAGGCCTACGACGTGTATCTGGATGTGTGTGGCAAAAATGACTTCTGAGGGATGACAAGAAAGAGAAGAATTCGGATCGTATGTGGGTTGGGTGAGGCTTATATCGTGTACCTACACTGCGAAGACAATAGTGGAAAGTGCAAAAATACCCCATCCTGTACTAAGTGTGGTGAGTATGTTGAAGATAAAGTGTTTAGTGAAGAACACCCTATATTTGAGCACTGTGGAATGGGGCTGGAACATGCATAGTGTGGTAAAGTGCTCAGTGAAACTGCAGCAAGGACCAGGCCGGCTCGCCTGTTGCACGAAGAGAGTGTTGAATACGCTACCATCAGAGGACATTTTACGATCGAATGGTCTTTCGCGAATGTCTGCCAGTTGTAAGTACGTTGGCTGTGTGCTTTAACCGTGTGGCAGGATTTTGTCACTGCCAGCTAGGTGGGAATTTTAGGCAACTGGGCTGGTCAGGCGGATTCGATCGGGGCTGAATGCTGATAGCGTGGTGAGTAGGTAATGAACAATTTGGCACACATGCTGATTGGTGTGCTTCGAGTGTTAGATATGTGGGTATAACTGTGGAATTATTCCAGGGAACAGTGCGAATTTGCGAGTCTTTCCGGTTTTGTGTGAGCCCCCTGATCTTATGACGTATGTGGAGGTGGTATCACGCGTTTACATGCACACTGCCTGCAATAAGATGGCTTTCGTCGTTTCGTCATTTCGACTAGCATAGCTTGTGTGAAAGTTGTCCTCGTATGAGCATTCATATATCTATTGTTTCGCTTTCGCACGCAAGTTTAACCAGCTATAGGTTAGTTGTTTAGTTTGTGGTGAGTTCTAGTCGAAATGCCACACTCGATTCAGTTGTTTGATTCAGTCCTGTTGTATAGTCACTGTTCCATCGAATGGGCGAACAGGAAATACCCACACCGGAGAGTTCCGGTTTTATTTGTGAAACAATTACACGCCGGTCCGGCATGGTACTTTGTAAGGAATGCGCCGTATTATAGTTGTAGGGTATTTTTGCGTATATCATAAGCAAGCCTATCATCGTATTTTTGTCGTCGCCTGCGCTAAAAATAAAACATCCGGATGTATTTTGATTCGGCTGTATTTTCTAGAGTTGTTTCAAAAGTTGAGAAGCCGTCGTATGAAATGCATTGTTCTCACATAACCGTCTTACGAAAGTGAAACCATTCACATGCTAGTGCCGTATCGGTGATCGTAGAAGGTAGAGTAGTATGTGCTTTGCGTCCGTAGGTATACTCGATAACACGGCCGATTTAAGTGATTTCCCTGCGCAAGCTGGATAGAAGAATTACTGAATAATTTTGCCGCCTGTGCATTGGTTTCGCTAAATGGCGAAACTATATAGCAACTTTGTCAGAAACTGTTCGCGCATGAATGGTATAGTACGTCGGGGTATGCTTGACTGACCCGGTCAGAGTTCTGGCTCGGATTGACGCACAAGGCTGCCTGAGTCGAAGCAGAATCGCCACTTTTTGTGTCTACTCTGGTTAGTGACTTGGTATGTGGTCAGGGCGTGATCAACGTGATCGACGTTAACCCGCGCCCTGCTGGGGGGGGGGGGGTGTTTGAACACCCCCCCCCCCCTTGTGGTTTTTCGCGAATATCTCAAAAACGGCGGCGCGGAGCGCCGCCGTTTTTGGTACACCTTATCATACATCAATTCTACACATGTTGTGAAAATTTCAGACCAAGGTCTTTCAAGGTCAGGTCACCAGGTCACTTGAAGTGACCTCACCTCATAAAAACTTTCAATGTCTGTCATAGCTACACCGAGTGACTGATCGCTTTGAAACTTTCAGCGATTGCTAAGAGCAATAGCATGTACAAAATGTATATCTCAGAATTTTGATATTGATGACCTAAGGTCAGGTCAATTTTGCGACCTCCCCATTATAAGTCAATGGGAGAAAATTGAAATGCGCCTCTTTTGGATGAAAGACAATATAAGCACTCCCAAACACCGAATTACAAGTGGTTTAGACACACTGAACATGAAAATGGTGTCCGTGACCCTTGTTTATGCCCTGAGGTCATCTTAGGTCACGAATGGTATCTAACAGTTTTTCGCAAATAACTTTTGATAGAGGCATGCTAGAGCGATGAAAACGCCTTAGATGTGTTCAGCTCGACGATACGGATCGACTGATATGCAACATGACCCTTTCCGGTCAGGTCATGACCTTGACCTGAGGTCAAATTTTCAAGTTGACCTTTCAAGGTCAAGTTATAGTTCATTCGATGCGTCTTGACGAGAGGAACACGATGCCGGTAAAAGTAAGCTCGTACAAGGCTTGGGTCAAAAGTTATTGCAGAAAAACTGTTTTCGAAAAAATCGGCTATTTTTGCAGTTTTTGCCCCCTGCAGGCAAAACCGTTGGCGTTAGGTCAAATCTGAGAGAATTACTCAGAAAGGGCGTTAATAGGGCTGTCGAATGCGCTTTTCCGCGGCGTTGTAGCTCTATTGGTTCCCGAGAATTATGCGTTGGCTTCTTGGAAATTTTCGACATTCGACCTGGAAATCGGCGAAATTTTGCCTTCAATGACCTCTGGTGACCTGACCTTTGACCTGACCAAAAAATTGACCGAAGTGATTTCGTCATTATTTTTGACGCTCTTTCGAACGCCGCCTTCCGCGTATCGCTACGTGGCCCAGGAGCCGAGTTACAAGGGGGGGTGTTCAAACACCCCCCCCCCCCCCAGCAGGGCGTGGAAATCCAGGACCCCCAGCCGGGCGCGGGTTAAGGTGTCATTTCTTGTTTGACGAATTTAATGGGTAACCGACCTTCAGGACATGGACAATAAGAGAAGAACGCAGGATTCCGAAATCGGCCCCTTGCGGCTAGAGTTGAAGCAAATTTTGGAGGAGTTTAGAGCGTTTTGGGGTTTACGCGAGAAGTTCACACATGTCTACGGCTTGCGTCTTCGACTTCTTCTTACAGCGTCTTCGTTATTTTATAGTCTGTTCGCAATCTTCAGCGTGTATCACTCGGTCGATACTCGATAGTCATTGTTTCACCCCTTAGACGGGCAAGCTGTCCGCGCCGTCTTAAATATTCCCGATAACATATTGTACTACGGTCACGTTTTGAACTTTTGAAGCGCCGAATCCCGGGGTGCCGTCCCAGCCATCTGCCTGCCGGCCGTTACCGATTGTTTCCACGGGTCGACCGTCTCTCGTTTAGACGGGCATACAGATGAGACTTTTAGGCGAAGTTTTAAATGGGTGAATGAAATGCCGGATATAACCAAATCATCTAAAAACGACCGATAGGTATGAGCAACAAGCCTTTGGTGCCGGGCAGCTTCATAGTCATGGCAAAATTGATTTCGATGGCAATAGAGGTAGCCGTTATTTGAGATCGTCAAAAAATCGTGAGGAGTTTTCAGTCGCGTATTCGTTTGCGAAATTGAGGTTCGCGATTTTCTTTCAATCGCTAATGCAAATTTTCATCGAAACGTATCACTATGGGAGGGAGCGATACGGTTCTCCGCACGCGCACCACTTGCAGGTGCGCGCACCACCACTATTTGCAGTGGATCATTCGACGAGCATCCTATACGAGTGAATTTGCCCTAAATACGGCCTTGCCCCTTATACGGCCTTGCCCTAGTCGTTCGCATTGTAATATTGTGATGCCGCGATGGTGCGACTAGATGTCATCGGCAGTCAGCTTCGGGTCAGGTGCCGTCCATTTCTGCCTGGTGTAAGATAATATTACGGATCTGAGCACCAGCGGACTTGTCCCAATGGCTACACGCCGAACGTATACCGTGAGTGATTCAGCACCGGTTCGTCCCTGCACGGCCGACCCAAGTCAGGCGGGCGGCTCATCCTCGCCGCTCCCGTCCGTAGCGACATCTGAGCGGGCGCGCGGCCCCGACCGGGCCGGCGACTCTCCCGTCCGGGAGAAACCGCCTCCACCGCCGGGCGCCGCTGCCGCCGCCGCCAGCCCGGCACCCGGCCGCTCGTGACGTAGCTGGCCGCCCGGAACGCAGATACCGTATATTCGGCCGCGCACAGCTGCTGTGGCCTCGATTTCCGGTGCAGATGGCGCCACCGACCAAGCGCTTGGTGTCGCCGAGTTAACGCTTACGGCCTGCTTACGGCCACCTGTATTTCATTTTCAATGAGTTTCACTTGTTTTCTGTAAAACTAGCTTACCAAATGTTCTTAGCTTTTAAAATTAGTTAGTAAAACACACATTGCATGGCAAAATAGCGCCACCTGCCGAGTTTATATCGATCTCAAGCCCGCAAGCAGCGAACCTCATGGCCATCTATCGGCCGCGTTCGTAACTAAGGCCCTTGTCCGTTCGCGTTGGTGGAGCCAGGTTGGCCTCGCGATGGTCGCTCTAGAAATATCAAATTTGGGCTGAATAGGAGTTGTTGCAGGTGTGACGGTATTCCAAAAGGTGAGTGTGCTAATTTTTGATGTTTTGAAACTGTTTTCGTGATGTTTGCTGTCTGTTTTGATGATGAAATTCGTTCTGAATAATCGGGTGGTTCCCGCCACGCCGAGGCTCGGGCTGGCGCCTCAGTCAGGGAAACTGTGGTCAAATCTTCCATTTTTAGAAAGCCTTCCATTTTTGGAAGGATTTTCTATATATGGGTACGCACCTTCCAAAAATGGGTACGCTGACGACGTCATCGTACCCAAATATAGAAAATGTTGCGCATATGTTGGAACTTACCGATTTCCGCCGAACATGAGGCAAATGCGACTATCGCCCCTGGTCGCTTTCTATTCGCCATAGTGAAGTGTCCATAATCTAGCGTGGATGCCTAAATCCTAGCGTGGATGTATTTTAGGTAATTTTTCAAAGTAATGAGTCGTGGAAAATTGACAAAAATTTACCGACAAACGATGGTTTTATAAGACTTTATCAAACATTTTGTAAGCAAAAAGCATCAAAAACGAAAAGTAAATATCCTTAAAAGTACTTTAGTGACGGGCCATGCTTGTTCGATACCGCCGACTTTATTTACAGTGCGGAATTGTCTGGACAGAGTGCGGCGGTTTCGGGAGTGTAGTGGCGAGTAAAACTTGTATTTGTTGCCGTTTTCTGCATTTATTAGCATATTGTGTGGTTGATTTCAATTTTTTAAGGCTTTTGCCAAACATTTGGGTGAAGGTCTCGTCATTTTTCAATGTTTTTTCCGGAATATGGGACGAATTAAATAGGCGTTGCTGCGCCGTTTTTCGTGTTACTTTCTATCGAAGGAGCATGAATCTTCAATTTATATGAGGAATAGTAAGTTTAATTTAAACCATTTTTTGTCAGGGCTATAGCTGTGTTCCTCCTGGTTGGTTATTGACCAGCTGTTTTCTCTTCTGAATTTCTATGTGTCCTCTAGAAGTAGAAAAAGAGAGCAGTGCGCCAGGACACCATGCTATTATATCACTATGTACATTGACATAGCATGCCTGTATTACCAACACTAGCACTGCTGCTTCTCCTTATATCAATGATCATAAATGGCAAAATCAACTATTAATGTTACACATTTAAAAAGGCCGTAACTTAAATCAAAGAATGTGAATCACAGTTGGGAACACTGAGATTAGACCTTCCAATTTTGGAAGCCTTCCATTTTTGGAAAATGCATACCCATTTATGGAAGGTCCTTCCAAAAATGGAAGGCTTCCAAAAATAGAAGATTTGACCACAGTTTCCCCCACTGGCCTGGCGGCTCGCGTTCGCCGAGGGGGCAGGGCGGCGGTGGCGGCGCCTCCACCCTTCCCGTCCGCAATCTGTGCTACTGTTTGTGCTCAAAGTGCTTGGGAGTGGAGAGGGTGGCTGAATAATTTAGACGGTCGAAAGTGCTAGTCTGCATATGATGGTCTGATCCTGGCTCATGGCTGCATAATTTTTCATATATGGGTTATGGAAGTTTCAAGGGAAGTTGTGCAGGATTTTTCAATATTTTCAAAATGTGTGAGATTCTTCATTCAATGCTGTGTTGTTCTCTATGATTCCCCTGGTAAAATGACCTTGTAACCATACCCATATCGAAAATAAGATCCATTTTACGAATCCCCAATGAAATGCTATTATTGATAAAAAATAATGGTAATCAGCTTATTTTATTATATATAAGAGTATCATAATCCATTTTTGCATCTTGTTACACAAATAATTGTGACTAGGATTATTATATCATAAATTGTGCTGCTGGCTTACAATTCAAAAGCTATATTTTTAGGTTCATTTGATAGGAAACACAAAGCAATAGAACATGCTAAATGTTTTTTGAGCTATTTGTGAACAAAATTGACACACAACAGGTTTTAGAACTGGCTGAATTGCATGAATTTTTTTGAGAACTTCTTATTTGAATTTTAAGTTTCTATCTCTATTTTATATCTTCCTTCCTACTTATTTTCCTGTTTTCTTCTTTTCTTTACAAACCATAGTATGGACATAAAACCAGAAAGGTGCCCTAAGCACAGTCATTATTTGAGGTGACCCTTTGCTATTGCCATGAAAGACAACTGAACCAATCTGGTTCTGGAAGTCAAAATTGACCTCAGCTTCTGCTATCCTCCACCAGGGTGGGTTGACATACCTGCAGTCACCCAGTGAAAAAATTGATCATCTGAACTAGCTGTGTGTACTAACCACCATCCAGAGCCTTTATTTGGGCTAAAATTAGCATACTTTTGCCTCATAACCAGGCTGGACTAGTCAGTAGTTTTCCTTGAAACTGAAATGCCTAGGAGATCATCATGTGCCACCCATTTATTCATGTTTCAAAGCTGATCTGAGCACCTTGATAATATTTGCTGCAGTTAGGTGGTGGAAAGGGTCAAAAGGGTTACCATTCCTTGCTCTTCTGCTGAAGTTACTGCCTCCCCCCCCCCCCCCAGAGAGCAATGATCCATATAAGTGCTCAAGATGGAGCCAAAACTCCAAATATCCACCCTCCCCTAGCAGCTTAGCAGGCTTGAGTTCACAATGAGATAACAGCGGCCAAGAGCCCGGCTCGAGCCGATGCGGCGATCGCTAGTTTTCCGTGATAGTTTCGGCTGTGTGGGCGACCATAGTCATATTACAGGTCAGGTGAGGTCATATAGTACATATACCGCACCATAGACCGTCGACAGCTTATGCCGAGCGTGCTTATAACATGTGTCAAAGAATATGTAAAGGCAGAAGGCGTGAAATATTTAACCTCGAAATATCCGTTTTGGAATTCTCGAACGGGCAGTAGAGGAAAGGGCGGACAATGCGTTCGCAAGAATCGACCATGGCTGGGCGGGCATTTCTCCGGACCTCATTACCTGACCTGAGAATTCACCTGGCCAAAATTTCAGCACACCGACAGTCGATGTTATTATTTGGTTTCTTAGGCATGAAAGAACACACAACTTGATATTTCGATTATGATGGACATTTTTTTATTCCGATGAACATTGAATTCTCCGTTTGTGCATTATCTCAGGCTCCGACAGTATCCAGTAGACGGTCCTGACGGTACCCCTCTGACCTCTCTCCCAGCAGAATGTCGTCGTCCTCCTCCCTCACCGGGGGAAAGTACACGCGCGATCTGAAGCTGCGCGTGCTCGAACACTACTTCCGGAGCGGCGGGGATGTGTTCGGGAACAAACAGGCCACCGCCAAAAAGTTCGGCGTCGACTCGAAGACCATCAACCGGTTCCTGAAGATCCCGGAGCTGGTGCGAGTGGCGCGCAAAAACGCAAAGTCCAGCAAGGCAGCCAGATCCAACGATGGCTTCAAGGTCAGTTCAACCATAGTTCAACAGCTGGTCTGTTATCGTGTCAGAAATATTTGTTCTGTTGCGGACTGCGGTGCAGCTGCCCCATGTAACTGGGGCTGCCCAGCTTTGTCACAGGATGAAAATTGTTTGCATAACTCGATATTTGTATTACGGAGCTTCAATGGAATCCATCTTGCATTGTGGATCATCTCGCAATCTATTTCTTTATTTTACATCTTTGATCTTTGACATTCGTAATAGCGAGGACTCATTAGCTCGTACCTAATTCGTCAGATTTGCTATATGCCTACATTCTCCCTCGCGATCTGCCCCCTCTCACCCCCGTGTGACGTGTCTGCAGGAGCCGCCGGCGCCGGGACCGAGCGGTGCCGGCCGCACGCGGCCCCCGCAGCGCCAGTCGGTCCGCATCACGCTGCCCTCTCAGCCAGACGAGTCCATCGTCTGTCAGAACGCCGACAGCCACTCGTCCAGCATCGTCAAACTGCTGAAAATCTTCGAGCTCGGCACACAGGAGGTAAGTTATAATTCATCTTGTTTTCTAGAGATTCGTACCTGAAGACTAGGTGTTCGAAGATTTAAAGTGGCTGCTCGTATCGTTGGAGGAGGAGATGCAGTTCATTCGATCCACGGATCTTGGTCGAGCTTGACCCTCCCCGCCCCCAGATCCGTGAGTGTGACCTCATCCCTCCCCACCGTCCCCGCAGATCCGTGACCTGCTGGCGGCCGAGTGTGACCTGATCTACGAGTGCCGCGCGTGCCGGGCGCTGTTCCGCAGCGTGGCCAACCTGCTGGCGCACAAGCGGCGCTATTGCACGCGGCCGGCGGTGGACACACGTCAGGTGTTCGGCTCCGGTCCGGGCCAGTCGCTGGCGGCGCCCTCGGACGGGGTGGTCGTGCTGCCGCTGCCCGCCGCCATCGACCGGCTGCCGGAGGTGCGCCAGGCGGCGGCGGCAGAGGCGCGCGCGGCCGCCGCCCAGCCGGTGCCGCCGGTGCGCCTGGAGCCGCTGCCGGGCAGCGCGGCCGCCGTGGTGCAGACGGTCGGCGAGCCGGAGCGCAGTGTGGGCGAGCGGCTGGACGAGGTGCGACGGATGGAGGCGGCCGCGCAGAGGACCGTCCGACTCGGCAGGGATGGCAGAGTGGTGGAGTCGGACGGAGAGGAAGAGGAGGAGGCAGAGGATACGGAGGAGGCAGAGCAGGCCGAGGGGGAGGACGGGAGACACGTCTGTCAGCACTGTGAGTACCGGACAGCGGGGGGGGGGGTATGGAGCGTACATAGATGGCAATGATACTTCTGAAACAGTAAGGTTTTTGCAGCCCTCCCGTTAATTTGATCACCTTCACGGTTCGTCATTTCAGTGATATGCCAGTTTCTCTCCGTCATTTCATTGCACGATGAATTTGCGATTTTCGTTACATTTGGAATGTTCACTACTCCTGAGCCCATCACTCCCGTGACCCGTCTCTGACGTCACCAGCCGTCCCTCTCCCAGGTAACACGACGTTCGCCACCCGCAAGACACTGTCCCACCACATGCGGTCGCTGCACGCGTCGACCCGCATCTACTACCCGTGCTGCCTGTGTTCAGCGGCGTTCATCAACATGTTCAGCGTGGAGCGGCACCTCCAGAAAGGTGGGTCTCTGGGCGGGGAGGCACCTCCAGAAAGGTGGGCCTCGCAGGGAGGCACCTCGAGAATAGCGGGTCTCTGGGGGAGGCACCTCCAGAAAGGTGGGTCTCGCAGTGAGGCACCTCCAGGAAGGTGGATTTCATTGAGGGGATGGCGGGAGGTGGGTGGTGCATTAGGGCTATAGACATGGGTGTGGAATTCCGCTGAGTTAGGGGTTCCCGGGCGCAGCAAAGTCGCCGCCGCCCTGTAGCGGTGACCTTGACCCACGCCGTCTGTTGCGGCTCCAATGCCAAGCTGGCGTGGAATTGGGAGAGCTTGTGCACCCCCAACTCCGCGGAAATCCACACCCATGGCTATAGACAGGAATGAAGCTAGTTACAAGAAGCGTTATCTATCTGGTGAAGCTGATGCTTCCGGTAGACGGTTGTAAGGTGACGATAAATATTTTGGTAAAGGACGTGTTCAATGTTCGTCGTCGTGGACGTGGGAAACATAGGTCGGGAACAGATCTAACGTATTTGGCAAGATTAAATAGGCGATCGCTAGTTTGCTCAGACATCCAAATTGGCCTGTTGTTCAATGCTGGTGAAAACCAAATGCTGATTCCCATCGGCTAATAATGTTTGAACAAATTGCCACTAGGCAACGTGAAGTTTCTTGCTACTGAAATCCCGTTGGGATATTGTATCCCGCGAACTAAGGTACTTAAAGTTGTTCCAGATTGCAAGACGTAGACGCTCTCTATCTCTGGTTGTTCCGGGCGCCCAGATTCGTTTTTTGTTTGGTGACTGGCCTGGAGTGCGATGCATTTCTTCATTTTCTTAATAATTATTTGACCTTCGTACGCATCTTATGCACTTTCAATGGGTCCGTGCGAAATGGGAGCACCGTAACATAAAGATTGCCTATTCATTTGACACGTTAAAGGGACCCTCCCACCTCCAAAAAGTTAATGAATTGGCATGAAAGTGATGTCGCTCGGTTCAGAAAGAGCAAAAATGAATATCTACCAAATTTCACCGAAAAATATTCACCGGTTTTCAAGATATTGGACTTTTACTTCTGTTTACTTTTTGGTATCTCCGCTGTTCCTAGCGACTTCATTTTGGAAGTGCGGCGTTTGCGGCAGATGTTGCGCGCAAATAGCATATACCACCACAGCTTCACAAAGATGTTAGTATAAGGTTTTAAAATCGTTAGATCACCGCTGACGTCACAAATTCTAAGGGGCATTACAATGCATTAGCCCCTTAGAATACGAAAACTGCAAGTTTGAAATTCCATATCTCCGAATTAAAGCATTTTTCGATGTTGTGAGTGCCCAAACCGGTATTTGCAGGCCATGGCCACCAATTTGGCTATCTCAACTCGAAACTAATGTTAAGGTGGGATGGTCTTGCTTCATGGCTCATGCACACCGTTCACCACTTCACTCATGCTACAACCGTTTCTGCCCCGTTCGCGCAGTGCACAAGAAGAAGCAGGAGGAGGTGGAGGTGCTGAAGGAGGGCATCAAGCAGAAGTCCTTCCACCGCAACGTGGCCGACGCCCAGGCGGACGGCGCCGCCACCAGCACCAACATGCCCGTGAAGGTGGTAAGTAGAACATTACTGCTGTGTGCGGGTCATGTTGGTGTGTGGTTGATGGGTTGTGGTCGGGTCGGGTTATCAGGGTCATTGCTGGTTGTATTTTAGTCCTTTTTTTACGGACCATGCCTAAACTTGGAGAAATCGGAGCAATATTTAAACTCTTCATTACAAAACCAATCACGCTCGTCGAGTGTCAAAAGCACCCGACGTTCGAATAACAAATAAACGACAATTACGAATTGGCAATCGAACCGGTGGTATTCCGCTGTACGCGCGAGTCTGCCTGTGAGCAGTCTGCCGTGAGTGCCTGATAGTGCCGCGTGCCGATCCATCAGACTGGCGGCTGGCGTAGTGTGCTAGTGCGCGCGGTGTGGGTAGGAGACCGGCGCGCGCGCGGCGGCGGTGCCGCTGGCCGGCCGGCGCGGCCGACTGGCGGTCCGCGCCGCGCGCCGCCGGCCGGCCGGCGCCCGCTGCTCACCCGCGTCGCTCTCTGCCCCCCGTTTCAGACGTCGTTCGAGTGGAAGTGCCGCCAGTGCAGCCGGCGCTACCTGTCACTGCCGGTCGGCCTGCAGCACGTGCAGTCGGCGCACCCGCAGTTCAGCTCGGCGCGCGCCGGCCTGGTGCGCGTGTGCCGCGTCATCCGGCAGTCGGCCGACCCGGCGGCCGTCTCCACGCGCTCCTCCAGCGGCGCCGTCACCCCCGCCGACCGGGAGAGGCCGGCCGCCGCGCGCGACGACGACCGAGAGACGGACGGAGACGCCGCCGGAGACGGCGACGAGCGCATGCTCTTCAACAAGGCCAACCTGCTGAAGCGTCTCTCCGGCGGCAGCGAGCGCTGTGTGCTGTGCAAGAAGGTGTTCACCGGCCACCTACAGGCGTGCGGTCACCTCCGGCTGCACGACCAGCGCGAGATCGAGGCCTACCTCGGACAGAAAGTCCGGCTCATCCGCAAGCGCCGGCCGGCGGACGAACAGCTCGAGCCGGAGGAGTACGAACTGGAGGGACCGGCCGGCGCCTCACCGCCGGACGGTCCGGAGCTGGAGTCGGACGCAGACGCAGAGTCGGTCACCGAGTCTCCGGCGGACACCCCCACCGAGCCGCCGACCAGTGTGGCCGCGCTGCACGCCGTGGACGGCCTGGTGGGGGTGCCGGCGGCCATCGGCCCGCGGTCGGACGGAGAGCCAGAGGAAGCCGATGCCGTCAGCGGGGAGGAAGCAGAGGACACCGAGCCTGCTGAGCCGGCAGAGGAGGAAGAACCAGAGGAGGAGCCGGAGGAAGAGGACGATAACGAGGACGAGGACATGGATACGGGTGCGGACGGAGAGACGGCCAGTGTAGACACGGACATTGAGTCCGGCGCCAGGCTGCTCGTGTCGTGTAAGCTCTGGAGTCCGGGGAAGCGACGCCGCGCTGAGGCTGCCAAGGAGGAGCCGGACGAGGAACCAGAGGACGAGGAGGAGGAAGAAGAGGACGAGAACACGGAGCAGGACGACGCGCCTCTGAAGCAGGAGCTGGACGGCGAGACGGTGAACAAGTGGGAGGTGATCAGGAGGAAGGGCTCGCGGCTCCGCTGCGGCGTCTGCAACAAGACGTTCGTGCGCAACAGCTACGCCGAGATCCACCTGCGCACCGAGCACACGTTCGAGGAGATTCGGGAGTTCGTCAAGAACTGGCCCATGAAGGGTGCCCGCGTGCCCCCGGACACGGAGGATCTGGACTCCGACGAGGAGGAGGAGCAGAGTGACGATGAAGAGCCTGATGATGGACCTCCTAAGCTGCACCCGGAAGTGGAGCCGAAACCGAACACTCGGCAGGAGGTCGAGCAGAAGGGCGCCAAGCGGGCTGCCGAGAGCCCGGCGGCGGCGGCCACTGCGCCGAAGGCTGTGAAGCGGGAGCAGACGGTACTCAACGTGCCTCTGATCAAGACGTCGCGCAACCTGGCGCAGGGCGCGGTCGGTCCGATCGGGCCCAACACCCGGGTCCTTAAGATCTCGCGCTCCGACCTGCTGTCCAAGCGCCAGGACGGCTCGCGCTTCTGTCTGGTCTGTAACCGTCGGTTCGAGTCGCACCCGGAGGCCTGCGAGCACATGCGCCAGCACTCGGACGCTGATATACGCAACTTCATCAAGACGCGCGGCCGCGAGTTCCTGCCGGCGTTCGAGCGGCGGCAGAGGCAGAAGGAGCGCCGTGTCTCGGAGGGTGCGGCTGGGACGGGCCCGGCGCCCGTCACCCCCACTTCGGCGGCCGGCGCACCGGTGAGATCTCTGTCACTGGGGGCCGCCGACAAGGCCAGTCCGCCATCGGACGCTGCCAATGTTACAGTAGAGTCTTCCAAACCGGCGGCAGAGGCAACGCCGCCCGCACAGGACGCAAAGAAATCCGCAGAGTCGGTTCCTAAGCCTGCTCCGAAGTCGCCCGCTCAGAAGTCCGAGGCGCCTCAGTTCCACCGCGATGAGGCGGTGACCGAGTTCGAGCTGTTTGACAAGGCGCAGCTGCTGAAGCGGCAGAAGGACGGCACCAAGTGTCTGCTGTGTACGCGCGTGTTTGCCAAGCACTCATCGGCCTGCGGGCACCTGTCGCACCACGGTGCCGCGGAGGTGCAGGCCTGGCGCACGCGACTGCGGCTCAAAGCCTCAGCGCTGCTGCAGACCCTGTCCCGCCGGCCGCGCGCCTACAGCGGCAGTGAGACGGAGAGGGGAGGAAACTCAGCGGCCGGGGGACCGGAGTCCCAGGAGGCGGTCATGGAGACCGACTCACCGGCCGGTGATGAACCGGCGGACGAGACCGACGCCAAAGAGGAAACTGCACAGCCGCGGGCTAAGAAAGCGAAAGGAGACAGCTCTCCTACCAAGGCAACCAAAGCCAATGAAGTCGCCGCTGTGCGGTCGACTAGAAGGAAGGACTCCGCTCCGGTTAAAGTGACTCGGGCTAGCAGCAATGCCGCCGAGAAGGAATCCAGTAAGGACGAACCGGCGACGGCACAAACAGTCAAATCTAGGACCGCGTCACTCACCTCTGGTGACGGTGAGTCGGAGACGAAGGCTGTCCCGGTGACCCACGGCGCTCGGGGGACGGGGCGGTATGTGGCCGATTCTCAGAAAGGGACGACTAAACAGGCACGGCGCACTGAGTTGGCATCCAGCCCTGTCGGTAAAGGCACCGCCGAGCCGCCAGCAAAGACTGCCAGCGCCACTTCGCAGGATGGTAAGAAATCTTCTAACGGCCCACCAAAATCCACACCGAACCAACCTGCCACAGAGCAACCCACGGAGAAATCCCCAGCCAAGACGCCAGCAAAGTCAGCGCCTCCCGTCTCAGCCGTCGCCATTCCCATCAAGCCGGTGGTGCTGTCGTCGACGGTGGCGGCGGCGCTGGCGGGCGCCGCGTCGGTGACGGTCTCCGTGGCGAGCTCGGGCGCGGTGACCGTGGTCTCTGCCGCCGGGCTGACCCGGCCGGCCGGCGGCGCCGCGCCGGTGCGTGCCGCGCAGCTGGTGAAGCTGCCGCAGGCCGTGAAACTGGCGCTGCTCCAGTCGGCCGACGGCACGATCCAGACCTCCGGCGGACGCACCATCATGCGGCTGGCGCCCGGAGTGAAACTGCCCATCACTGCCGCTGACCTGCCGCGAGTACTCCGGCCGATCGCGCCGAAAGGCACCGAGGCGGGGACGGGGGCGGGGGCGGTGCTGCAGCCGCCCACCCCGGGCGCCGTCACCAGCCCGGGCGGCCCGGCGCGGCCGCGGCCGCCGCCGCTGCTGCGCGCGCCGCTGCTGCAGGCCATGCCTCGCCCCGGCGGCGGCAGCGTCACGGTTCACGTTCCGTCACTGAAGACGACCACATCCGTGCCGGCCGGTGTGGTCACTGCAGTGATACAGGCCGGGGCGCGACCGGCCGGCGCCGCGGACGGCGGAGTGAAGCCGGCTATCAAAATTGAGGGCAAAAGCGGTGGCCAAGAAAATAAAATTGATGCAGAGGCTAAAGGTGTGAGTGGTGAGAAAGCAAAAGTGAAAGCGTATGGTAAGACGCCGATTAAAGTGACGACAAACACCGAATCGGCTGCTGAGATTAAAAACGAACAAGGGACTGTCTCAGAAGGCGTAGACTTAGCGAAGCGGCCTGCTGAGACGAAAGGTAGCGCCACCAAAACTCCCGCGGCGGCGGCCCATGCGAAGACGGACGATAAGTCTGAACAGGTCGCCAGGGGCAGTCAGCGGAGAGCGGCGGCCGCGGAGAAGTCGTCGGATCGTCCTGCTCCCACCACGGTCACCGTCCTCCCGGGCACCAAACCGACGGTGCTCACCAAACGGGCTTTCATTCCGGAGACGGCCGGCAAGTCGTCCACCCGCTGCAGCTGGACCCCGGAGCCGGGCGGCAAGGCCTCCCCCCGCGCTCCGGTCGCCGAGCCGGCACCCAAGAGCTCGCCGGTTGTCCCGCCGGCCGGCGAGGTGCCCCAGACGCGCGCGCGAGCCGAGGCGGCGGTGGCGGCGCGTGTGAGACAGACGCGGCGCCGGAGCAGCAGTGCCTCGGCGCTCGATAGAAAGTGATACCGGCCGCGCCGCCGCCGCCACTGGGCCGGGCGGAGCGGCGGCGGGACCGGGCGGGCTCTCTTCAGATGCTTCCGATTCATCGAGAGATGATAAATTAACTGAGGATGATGTGTGGGAGTCCCCGTCAGCCGCCACCCGTCTCAGAACAGCGAGCGGCGGTAATAAAACGGGATCCCTTAGTCGAATCAATACATCTAGGTATATGTGCGTACAACGGTCGCGAGAGTATTGTTTGCTTGTTTGTACCTGTTTGTATGTGTGTTTATGTGTGTGTGTGTGCTTGTGTGTAAAGATAGCCCGGACTAGCCGTTTGAATGTTGTTCTGTGGGTCTTGGATATCCGATTGATGCCCTCTAGATAGCCTCCACTGGTCTCCATCAATTGTTACATGCAATGACTATGTGCCCGCCAATTGGATATCCTCATAATGCATTGTCACGCCCGTACACGTATTTATGACATCTTGTTTAACACGCTTAAATACACTTTTACAAGCGGACTTGGCCTGACAGTGTTTACGTGATTTGAAGCGAAGTGAAAGGAGTGAAATGCAAATTTCAAACGCTATATGGAGGACAACGATAAAATGGAAGCGTTCAAAGCTATGGTGGTTCAAATAGCGTTACACTAGAATTATGTACATAGCTCACACGTAAGGATTACTCATTTTAGTTTCAGAGCTTGTGTAATATATAGATCTTCGTGGACGATAGCTGTGGCAATCTCATAGGACGTAGGTGAGCAACTTGAGCTTCATACCACATGAAAATGGAAGCGATTTTAGTTATCAGTCATACTACGACCTTGCTTTGGGTATTTGCTTAGGCCTCGGTGCTCTACGGTAGGTCCTGTGCGTTTTTCTACAGGGCTCACGAGCAGCTAAATATGAAGTTGAAATCTTTCATGTGTTTTATTTGTTCACAATGATGAAATTTCACAAGGAACACTTTTCACACAATACCAGGCGATATGTATCGTAGGTAATTCGTACCGCTCCCCGCTCTCGGCTCGTCTGTGGTACCGGCCTCCGTTCGGTCGATGACTGGAGTCGCTCGGTGCCGCGCTGTGTTTCAGGGCCCTCCGCCGGCCGGCCTGCTACGCTGCTCCGAGTGTCTCCTCTGCTACCCGTCCGCCCAGCTGCTGGCCGCCCACCAGCTCACCGCGCATGCGCCAACAGCCGAGCGACGGGCCCAGTCTGCCATTCTGGTGCGGAACGACTACCTGAACCCGCGCGCGGCGCCGCTGTCTCTGGGAGCGATGGCGGCGGCCGCCGAGTCGGCAGCGTCGGCCGCGGCGGCGGCGGCGGCGCGTCTCGTCAGCTCCCAGCCCCCGGCGCCGGCAGCGTCTGCCACCGAGCCTTCCCCCGCCTCAGAGGAGGCCATGCTGGCGCGGCTCTCAGCGCTCTCTGACATGAAGCGGTTGCAGTGCAAACAGTGTGGCAGCTTTCACAAGACGGTGCATAACCTACGGCGCCACGTGGCCGGCCACATCGGCTGGACGCGGCACGGCTGTCCGCGCTGTGCGCACCGCTGTTACTCCCGGTTTGACGTCATTCGGCACCTGAAGAGCCACCACAAGCTGAAGCCGAGGCTGGCCGAGGAGCTGATGAGCAGGACGGAGCGGCGGAAGCCGGCGGCTCGGTCGTCTGGGAGACGAAAATCTTCCTCGGCGGAGGAGGAGGAGACGGCGGGTGAGGGAGAGCAGGTAAAGGTGACTGAACCGTCCGTCGAGCCGGCACCCAGGGCTCAGATGGCGGAGCTGCCACAGAGGACGTATGAAATGCGGGACCTGACCATACCTCGTCCTCCTCCCTCCCCATCTGCGACCTCCCAGGTGCCCGCTCCGGCCGTCCTGCCTGGTGTGCTGCCTCCCCGTCCTCCCCCGCTGCCGGATCGTCCCTGTCCTTCTCCACCTCTCGAGGAGTCGCATGTAGCGCCGCCCCCGACCCTAACCCGACGCCGACCGGGCAGGAAGAATCTCACGGACATCATCCGCTACATCCGCTCCGCTGCCGAGCCGTCAACCCCCGACTCCGAGCCCGGTGGCTCTTCACAGTCACCCGCCGAGGGGAACACCTTCCAACAAGTTCCGTCAGGGATGGCGGAGGTCTTCCGGGAGCCAGTAGCGACAGAAGAGGCGGAGGCGGATCAGGACAGTGACGCTGATGATGCGGCAGACGCTGCTGCAGACGACGACGACGAGCTGGAGGAGTTCATGTCGCTGTCGGCGGGCGCCGAGCTGGAGCCGGGCGCTGTGTGGCGCACGCTGCCGCCGCTGGTCCCCCTGGTGGGTGGCTCCCGGCCCGGCGCGGGGCCGCGCGGCGCCGGGACACCACTGCCGGGCGCCTCCCAACAGCTGGCTGCACTCGAGCGGCTCGCCGAGACCTCCCAGCAGCACGACTGCAACGAAAACATCGAGCTTCGGCCGCCGAGCCGCGCCCGCACACCGGCCGGCGAGTCCAAATCTCTGCCGACGACACCGAAACGCTCCCCCACGGCACCCTGCCTCCTGAACCTGAGCCACACGCGCTCGCTGGACGAGTGCAACTTCTTTCCGCGGGTCCTGCTGACGGACATCGCTCTGCGGACCTGGAACTCCAGCCCGACGCCGGCGCGGCCGGCCAGTCCGGCCGGCGGCGCGGTGTACCCGGCCGGCGCGCGGCTGGACCCGGCCGCGGCGGGCGGGGAGGCGGACTCGCCGGCGGCCCGTCGAGGCAGTCCATCCGGCGCCGCCAGCGCCTCGGGGGGCGTGTCGCCCACTGGTGTGGAGCAGGAGCGCCGCTCCCGGCCGCCGCGCAAACCCAAAACGCCAAGGAAACTCGACTCTGTATCGGACCTGAATCTGGTGTCGATTGGGGAGTCGGAGGCGACCGTGGCGGCCGCAGCGGCGGGGACGTCACCTCGGTCCCCCGACCGCCGTCTGAAGGGGTCAGCCGAGTCAGAGAGGTCACCGCGGCCGGCGCAGAGGTCAGTCACTGTCCCAACTCGAGTAGTCCCCACCAAACGCGCTTTCATACCGGCGAACGTGTCTCCCTCGTCGTCTGATCGTTCCTCGGGTTCCTCCTCTCCTGCCGCCGGCCGCCGCGGGAGGAAGAGGCCCAGTCCCGGGGCTGCTGCCGCTGCGGGGGCGGTGGGCGGCCCGAAACCCGTGCCGTACATTCCGTCCGTGTGGCCGCCGCTGGTCAGGAAGCGCAGCTGGTCCAGTCCAACCGAGGAGCCGCCGAACGCTGTCATCACGGCCGCCGAGAGCGTCAAACGGCGCCGCTACCGCCAGCTGTCGGGCCGCGCCGAGGCCCGGTAGGTCGACACTCGGAGTTAGCTCGGCCGTCACTCCGGAGTTGGATCAGTGGTCACTCCGGAGTTACCTCGACGGCCACTCCGAGTTCGTCGGCTTCGCCATCACCAAATATGGATGCAGACCAAATATGAAAGCAACCACACCTGTCTGTGAGAGTTTCATGGGTAATTCAGGTATGCAAGGGATGTCGCTCGTGCTGTGTTGTACGTGGAAGATTCTCAGCTTGGTTCGGGTTGTGAGGGGTACCGGTTCTGTGATGTGCGCGATATTGGGTGGAGAGCAGCGGTCGGTCGCGATGAGAGCTGTTTACGTGCTGTGTGGGCCGCGTGGCCGCGTTGCGACACTGGGTTGGCAGGGGGGCCGAGGGACGAACGGCAGACGGCAGGTCATTGCAACACCGTGTGCTGCAAATGACCTGTGTGCCGACGGGGTTGGAGGGGGACGTTTCTCTAACTTATGTGTTGGGAGGGTTGGGGCCGGGAGCGCAGAAGCCCCTCAGGGTTTCGTCGGACGGGCGGGGTGGAGAGCCAGTTCGTTCAGCGGGGAGGTGATCTGTGGGCGATTGGGCAGCTGGACGGAGGGCTGGGATGCAGACAGTGTGTCCCGTTTGTGATGTTTCGGGCAGAAGGGTGGGGTGGTTATAGGTGTCTTATTCTGTCGCGTTTCAGCGGCTGTGTGCGTCGCCCGCACTTCGTTCTGAAAACCTATATCGTACAAGGCTCGAAATGCGCGTTGAATATCAAAATACTCTTGCAACGTGTAGTTTTTGGCGCACTTGTTGTCTTGTCACGAAGAAAGTCTATGTTGTTGCACCTGTTCGCCTTTATCGTCTTCCTGTCCTATTTATCATTGTCCCTTTCTTACCTTTGGAAAAAAAAGTCGTAGAACGACCCATAGAGGCGTACCCGCGCCGTTCCGTGACCTATTCTGGCTGGGACAGCTCTGGCTCTGTCAGTGCATAATCAGGCACTGTGTGCGTTTCGAAGTCTCACTTTGATATGTTTTTGTGATGCAGCATATCGGTCTCGATATCTGTCTCAGTACAGCCCTCTGCACGGGCTGTGTCTTGGCCGGTTGTTGTTTGGTAGGAGAGCTCAGTAGTCGCCCGTTTTAAGTCTTTTCGTGCCGCGTTCAGTTGCTAGTTTCTGTCTCAGGAAGCGGTGGCGTCCCCTCACGACGCATCGAGTACCTCGGAGCGCGGCAGTCTCGTTCCATGTGAATAAACTTGTGATATGCGACGTTGTTCCGTAAATACAGAGTTCCTTCATAGCATTACGCCTTTTCATCATGACGTGCTATGGTGGTCAGTGCTCACTCCTGTGTCTCGACTCTTTACAATTGAATATTTACTCCGGTACCACGTTTTTACGGAATACAGATATCATCCATAAGTGCGTTGCGGGTATCGACCCTTAAGTATTTTAACGATCCTCTGCATGCGGTCACGCCCAATTATTAATCAGTTACGTCGAAAGCGGAACGAGTTTATCGTCACGGCTATATCTCGTAGAAATTTAGTCCGAATGGTTTGAATCAGTGTGTGAACTAGAAAGGAGTCTGTCTCCCCGCTCAGCTGTTATTTTGTTCCTCCTATATGACAGCTTCAATTACATGAAAAATGTCTTCATTATGTTGGAGGGCTCACATCACTGCATTCTCATTTACCAGCCTGGTGTCCTCTCTCCAAACCCGCCTTCGACGCACCCACACAGCCGTTACACGGTGTTTTGTCTATATTTGACCGCCCTGTTAGCGGCATACACACGATCACAGTACACGAGGAGGCCGGGCCGGGCCGGCGCGCGGTCAGAGCGCGGCCCCGGTCCGCCGCGGCGCCCGCCGGCCCTCTGAGCACCTCAGACGGGCCGCGACCCGACGCACCGCGGCGGCAGCAGTTTGGACATTTGTGATGATGGCGACAACAGCGCCGCCCAGTGAGCACTTATGGAACTAGCGGACGGCGCCTTCTCACTTGCCCAGCTTGTTGTCTAGGTTCTCCTGAATCGCCTGCAGGAAGTCCATTGTGTTCAGGTACATGTCGGGCTTGATGTTCTTGATGCCGTGGATGCAGCCGGCCAGGTCCTTGGTCATCTTGCCGGAGTCGACGGTGTCGACACAGGCCTGCTCCAGGGTTGTGCAGAACCTGAGGTCAGGGGAGGTCAGGTGGTTAGCTGGTGCAGAACCTGCTGATGGGGGCAGTGA